AGGAGGTGGGCAGGAAGATATAAATGTAGTTGTGCAGTTGAAGTCTTGTGATGAAGGTGCTGTTTAAAATGCCCAGCAGGTTAAAACTGCTTTTCTTTAAAGCAGGAACTTTGGTAGCAGTGTCTACCTGCATGGAGAATGCTGACAGGCTCCCAGTGGAGTTTTGGTAATTAACTGTGGCATATGAAGGACAATAGAGAGGACTTATCTTGGATTTTTTTTTTTTTTCCCCAGAAGTAATTTAAGAGTTTCTCAAAAGTGGAAAAGTTGGCAGACACTGTGGGGTTAGAGCATGCTCCTACGCCAGACTTTTCTGTATGGGATGTCCACTCCCAAATACTGTGTGATTACTTTTATTTTTGGAAACAATTCAATTTTTTTCCAAAGCATTTCTATGTCTCTTTCCCAATCTAGGCCTCACTAGATTATTGCTAGCAGACTTAGTGTTTCATTTAGTTACAGGCTTCCCAAATTTTTGGTTTATGTTGTTCAAAAACAAATCAGCCCCTGTGCTACTGCAGTTGCCCATGTTTCTGGTTCACAAAAAGCAGACTAGTAATGAAATGCATCGTCTTTCTGCTCCTTGCCCCCAAAAAGTCAGTTACGTTGTGCTAATGACCAGAATAAGCCAAATCAATTCTGAAGCTTATAGGTGAGATACTTGCAAGAACTTCTAAAAAGAGACCAAAGGGAAGCGTTAGAACTCCTGTGTCTTCAAAATATTTGTCTATCTTGCATACAGCGTGCCAAAACAATTGTGCTCTGTGAGGCAATGTGTCAGTCGAAATTTGAGGTAGGTAGTAAGCTGACTTCCAGGGCAGCTTGAACAGTAATTGGAAAGGACAAACGCTTCCTCCCTGTTTGGGTTTTATTATAAAGCTATTGTGCAACAGGCAATTGAAAGGTTCTCATTAAAGTCTATAAAGAACTAAAGGTGCTAGGTTGACACAACCCTCAAAAGGTGCTTTCTGAGCTCTACAATGAAATGGAGTTGCAATGTTTCATATTGCAGGTCTGAGTTTGGGCAGGGAGGAAGGAACCAGGCCAGAGTGGTAAGGTAACATTTATATAAAATGAAGTTTTAATATGCATCAAATAGAACAAGAAAAAAATGGAGAGATTTTTATAGATGCATTTAGTCAGGGCAACTCTAAAGCCTTTTATCGGAGTTCAGTGTGTATTATCCTGCTTGCATGCATCAGTGTAGAGAAATGCTGAATTCATAGTTAGATCAGTTTCAAGAGTTAGTTAGTAATGCAGTGGGTGCTGCCTGGTTTCTACCAACTCTCTGAGTGAGGCTTTTAAAGTTGAAAATGCCTGTTTCTGTTAAATGAAGTAAAATTTTTGAATTTTGGCACGCATGTGTTTTCACAAACCTTCTGCCTAATTAAAAATAACAATATGTCATTAAATTTTTATCAACTGAGATAAACTTCAGGCTGCAGCAAATTGGTGTTGTATTATAATTTTAGAAAAGCTAGACTTATCCGTTCTGGCATTAGAATGTAACAGAAAATACTATAAAAAAAATAAAATCTCTGTGCCTACTAATTTCTAGTATTCTGTGCAGAATATCCATTAATAAATTTTGAGATTAGAGTTGAAGACTTAACTGATTGTGATAGTGAATACTTAAATATCTTCAATTTCAAGAGATATTTGTACTAATGTGTTTCTTTCATAGTTTTATTTTTGTAAAATTCTATTTTTCAAGATTAATTCTATTTCTTAGGGATAAAATAATGGCTATCTCTGCTCAAAATCTCCTAGGTTCTCTTAAAAAGGTGAATTCTCACTAATACTGCATCCTTATTAAAATGCAAATAGAATATTGCAATTGAGTAGTAAAGTATGTAGGTTACAGTTCTCAGATACACCTCCCTTTCGTTCATACTAAAATAATTCAGTAGTGGAACTAAGTAATGCCAGATATTGACTCAGGTTGACTGTACCTATAAGAAGCCTGTTATCTTTTCTCCCTGTAGCAGGTGATCTCTCAAAAGTTATGTTTAAATAAATTATCACATAGGTTTGCTCACAGCAGCTCATCCTGCTGCAAATTTTATGATACAGTATTTAGTGGTGTGTGCAACCTTTTTTGAGGCTTTGCATTATATCTTCTCTCCCAACAGTGCTCTTATGACTACTTTCTTTTAATAGAAAGCCAGAAAAATATTTGTCATATCAAACTTTAGCAGAACAAATTCAAGGCGTTATGTCCAAAATACCATCAGTAAGACGATGGGTTATAAGGGTGTGCATATTTGAAAAGTACGACTTTTGGGGGTACTTTTGGAGGTTTTTGTGTTAGTAGATTCTGGAGAAATGTGTCCTCAATGGCAACATTCAAAATGTGGCATGTTCTCTGCTGGCCTTCTGCTGCATTGTCAGAGGTGTGTGGGTGAAGGACACTTTTACGTAGGGCCAATGATGGGAAACCCGCAGAACTGCTGAAGAGAGACCATTTAATTTACAGTAGGCTCCCCTGAACCTCTCCAAAATTAAAACTCCTGACACCTTTTAATATTTCTTTCTTTGTTGTTGAACAGAGGTAGGTAAAGTGATTAGTATGCAACCTTCAGGTCAGAACTTACCCCTTAGTATTTATTTTGTGACTTGCACTTCAAAGGAGCTTGGAAATTTCACTTGAATCAGAAAACTTATGGTTGCAGAAAGTGTGAAATTTTTATTATCTACTGCCTCAGTGCACTGATTGAAATTGACCTTTTGCATTGCAGTTTTTTACTTAAAATAGCCTAAGGTACTGTCAAAAAAATGGCTTCTCTTTAACATATTTTACCCTCCACTCAAATACCGACTTGGTCAAATGCAATATGCAAAAGCTTCGTGAACCGTCCCACAGCAGTTTAGCTATTAGTGGAAGAAGTCTAAATATCTAGAACCAAAGCCTAAGTTTAAAATGGAAAAAAAATATTTCCATGTATTTATGTGTTTTTGTCAGATACACAACATTATTTAGTTTGCAGACCTGTTCTCTTTTTCTGTGGCTCTGGACTCCTTGGCTGCAAGGAATGCATTTTTAAATTGTTGCAAGAGTTACTTAGAGCAATTTCTTTTCCTAGCTAACTACAAAAGTCCCTGTAGATACCCTCGTTCTTATGCAGGAATCCATGTACAGGTAAAAAGCAGATATGCATGTTTCAGGTATAGTGAAGCAAACAATGAAGCTGTGTTTTCTATACGTTCATATCTCTGCCACTTTCTTTCCAAAGAGAGTTTATTTTCTTTGCTCATATTGTAAAATTGGGGAAGAAAACACAGTCAGGGAAATTTATGGTGAAATTACAAACTATATGCATGTATTTGTGGAGGAGAGCAAAGAAAGAAAGAGAAAAGGCTTGAGGTTCCAGGTTGGCATTCTCATATACTAAGCAGCTGTATCTAAGAGCTGTTGAGCTCATCACCTTCCTTTTCACCTGAGTAGTACAAATGAGTGCAAATTGTGTGGTTCAGTGCTATGCACAAAATTCCTCTTGGCAGGCACTGACTATGTGTGTGTGTATGTGTGCATGTGTGTATGTTAAGATTTCGGTCTTGCTTTATTTAACAAGGCAGTTCAGTGCTTGCCAACCTACTTAGCAAGTGCTTAGCATATTTAAGTTCTTAACGTTAAGCATATGCGTAAGTTTTTGACTGACCTAAATTTTTGGGACCTAAATCAGAAGTTTTCCATTTTTATGATAATTATTGTAAGGTTGCTTAGGACTTGAGTCAATAGAAGGTTATTTGATCACTTTTTGTGCATGACAGGTTCTTCCTGGGTAGCTCTGATTAGGTGTGTAGTGGCTGTTTCATTTCTACATGAAAACTACATGACAGATGTAATTACAGTAAAGCTTTTCTGTCTATACTACAAAATGGTGAATATTTGTCATGTCCTAATTTTGTAGATCAGGATATAGCACTGAGGCAGGAAAAACCACACAGGAAGAAAGAATAAAAAGTGAAAAGGGTAGCAAAGCCAGAATAGTTTTTCCAGTTTCCAATTACATGGCTAACTGTCTGGGGTCCAGATAACACAAGATCTGATTCAGAACTCCATTATCTCCTAAAATAAATTAAGAGAGTACCACTGAGGTCTTTCAAAGCTGAAACTTGATTCAGTCTTAAATGGGAAAAGTTCCAGCTGGTTTGGGGAGAGTCTTTTAAAATCCTTCCCAGTTGGCTACTTTGGTGATTCTTACAGATGCCTCCCACGTTCAACTAAGAGCTCTTATTGTTTTAAATTTATATCTTCTGTTTGTTGCAGTGTTTACCAATTATAGAGTTATCATAGCTCTTAAATTGTCTAAAATTGCAGGTACCCTGAGCAGAAGGGAATTTAACATATAGAATGCATGACATCAATGTGCAAAGCTGCAGAGCCAAGTTTTCTTGGGGAGGGGAGGTATCTGCACTCTGGCTACAGCAATGTCAGAAAGTCTGGGCTTGGGAAAGTATTCTGAATCCAAGCTGAAGTGTCCCTGCTAGTTTGGGTTTATTACCATTGTATAATAGTAAACAGGCAATAAACACCAACACCTTTTATTGCCCAAACAGGCATTGTTTTCCCTGCCATGTCCTCCTCCCTTCTTCCAAAAGATGTGCTGTGTGCAGGTGTGCTTTATGGTCTGGGCATTTTTTTACTACACTTTTCCTTTATTTGTTTTTCTACTGAGTTCCTGCTTTGTCGTATGTAGAAAGGTGCCACTAATGTAGTGGCCATTAACAGTCATATTTTAACATTATAAAAATTCCTTTTTTTCCGAGCCTTTTCTGTCATGATTGTGTTAATGAGTTTCCTGCTCCCCGACATGGCTACTAGCTAGGAAAATGATAGGGTGTGATTTTGGCTAGGACAAGAAAATTGCAAACACCTGAATGAACAAGAAGTGTTTGTCCTCCTGAAAACAGACAAGAACAGCACAACTGAACAGTGGACCAAGCTGGTACTGAATCCTAATCCAGCCTTGTACATCTTGTTTCTTTTCTCTACACAGGAAAACAACACAGAAGATAGAGACACACTCATGTTATTAAGGTAGGATGAAAGCACCTGTTATTTAACTCCTTGATGGAAACTTTGGTATCTCACTACTAATCTGTATAATATACTTCTATAATGTAATAATAGCTTGTTTGTTGGAGGAATAACCTAAAAAGTGAAACTTATCAAAGTCTTAACACTGATGTATATCAGCTGTAGACAGATAAATGAAGGCCTGGAAGGCCAGTGTTAGCACTTGACCCTCAAAAAAATGTATTCTTTATTCTTGGGTGGGTTGTTTGGGTTTTTTTTCAGTATGCCTCTAATCTTTTATTCTACTTATACATACCTATATCATGGGTGACATGTTGGTATTTCTTAACCTGCAAGGAAGAAGTGCCTACTTTTAGATATTGTTTCATGTTCTTGCACTGGTGCAGCAGTGCACCAGAAGGCTGAGATGCTATCAGAATAAATATATCAATAACTGTGTGTGCTTAGTCCTGGGAGGAGGGGGCTAGCAGGGAACTCAGCATCATCAAAGCTTCTTTTTGGAGAGGTTTGGGGTGTGCAATGGCTGTGCTTTATGCAGATGGCTAAGTTTTCTGGAGACAGAAAAACTGATGTCTTAACAAAGTTGAAATTCTTTGCTGTGTTTCTGTCAGAAAAAAATGGTGTTTATGAGAATTGCATTTATGTAAACAAAGAGTATTATGTTATACCCCAAGACTAGATTTCCTTGCATCATTTCTCCAGCATTTGACTTGTCTGACCACAGGGCCATAGCTTAGCCAAAAAATTTCTTAAGGGAATATTTTTACCTATAAAGCTTAAAAACACAGTAATGCATTCCCATCATTTTGGAGTAAAAATACGTGGACTAAGCTAATAGCCACTGGAAAATCATGGTACACGTTCCAGTCTTTTAGTTTTTGTGAGTTTTGTTCTGAGATTCCACTGAAACACCATAATGGAGGCCAAGTTCATTGTGCTCTGCAGTGAAAAAGACAAGGAAAAGATGTTATGGTTCAGAGCAACTTCAAGTATTTCCCAGATATTTTGTAATGCCAGACGCTGCTGAACTATCCCACTTAATATTCTGCTTGCTTTGCCAGAAATGCAGCAGATTAATAAACCACATTAGTTAGGAAATAGCTTTCTGAGAGAACTAGGAAAGATAATTCAAGGATTTAGACAAAGCTATTGAAGCAGAGACAAGCTGGCATTTCCCAAAAGCTAATCAAATGGTAGTAGAGCAATATAAGGTAGTATAATACATCATGTGGGGACAAAAGTCAAGGGAGAAGATTTCAAAAGATACGATCTCTTATTTGCCAGCAGATAGTGCGTCCCAATGTTGAGCCTTTATCACCATAGAAATTACGAAGTACTGTTGAAATAATAGTCTGTTCTGTGAGAAGGCAACTTCTAAATCATACTGATTGCTTAGGTCTGGTGGAGGACTTGCATGTCGTCCTAACTCATTTCTGGATCTGACATAACAGTACCGCATTCAGTAGATAATATGATTTCTGGGCATTTTTTCAACATTTCTGATTATAATGGAACAACTGGCAATTGTTTTTCTCTGATCACACTGAATTTAAGTCCTTCCTATCTTACACAATTGGTAATTAATGGTTTGCATGTTCATCCAGTTTTAAAACAGCTGAATCTCAATATCTGCAATGAAAAAAAGAAAAAAGCTAAAAAAAATTTAAAAAGTATGCCTATGAATGTATTTCATAAATAATGGAAAATATCAACAAGGAGACTGGAAATGCTCAACTTCAAGCCCACTGGAATTAAGGCATTCTTCTCAGGGATTTAACTTCAAATCCCTTGGGACACAGAGTGAAATTAAAGCCAAGTTTTCTATCTTGAGTTTGTGCCATATGTTGGATTTAAAAAAAAAATGTATCATGCTGAAATATTTTTTTGTGAATCCATCTGCCATGATTTTGTCTTGCTAACTGGAATTTTTGCAGAAAATTCAAACCTAATTTATGTACTCTCAGGACAGTCAGATTTGCATTTCTTAGAGAACTTAACATTCACTGGTGTTTGTTCTTTTACAACCAAGGTCTGGTGAAGATCAGCAAAAACCAATGTTTTCAGGAAAATGAATTTGACTAAGCTTGTCTTGGAAGCAGTGCTTTATTATTTGTTTACTAGTAATCAAGCAAGTGGGCCAGTTGCTGATGTGAACTTCCCCAATTGTTTGCTTTCATTTAAACACAACCAGGCAAATGCTGTTGGTAAATACTCACTTTGCAAACCCTCAGGTCATTCAAAGGTACCAGTTATGAAGCTGTAACCTCAGCTGTTTGTTACTACCACTCTGCTGGAGCGAAAATACATAGTAATTTGCTTCTGGGAAAATAAGATGAACTAATAATTTGACCACTTAGTTTGACTTAGCGTGGCGCATTCTTATCTGAGCAGAGAATGCAGCACCTAAATGAAGTGACCTGACCTCCAGCCTGCAGGGACAATACTTGTGTTCAACAATATTGTTGGCTTAAAAAAATTATCTAATGTCACAAGAAAGTTGCTTCTGAAACCAGCTCTTAGATGGTGCAATCTGCCACCCAAAAGGTGTATACTGCATCAGGACAAATACTCGTGAAATAAATGTGTAGAAGAGATAGCCATAGCCTCAATCTGCTGTGATGGGAATAGGTACTGGAATTAAGAAACCTGCTGGATGTACTGTGAAGCTTAGCTTACTGATTCAGAACCAGAGTGTTGGTATTCAGTTACCAAAAAATCACCTTTCTATTAGGACTAAGCACAATTAAGTGCTACAGAGATTTTCAGTAAATACATCAGGAAAGAAAGGCGTTATCAAGATTACGTGACTGGAAAGGACAGTAAATCTACTTGAGCTTTCCAAAACTCATGACTAGCTCTGAACTGAGAGTAAGACTAATTACTGTGCACCTGCCTTCACATCAGTGACCTTAAATGTGTTATTTGTTGTTTAGTACACCTCTATGGTGTTGCTAGTTTCTCTTATAGTATAAGCATAGCATAAACAGGATGATGGTTCCCTTTTGCGGTTACTTACTACCTTTTTCTTATCCTGTGGTCTTTTATTATGGAACTAAAGCTTGTCCTGATAATTTAACTTTTATCCAATTTCTTTTACCATGGAAAAGTGAGGATGACTCACACTTTTGACTAACAGGATAGACTTCTGTTACTTTAATTTTGCGTAACAGGGGTTGTCTTACATTTAGCTGGTTTAGTGTTATGCCCTTTTAAAGTAAATCAGTGTGCTACCACAAGATACCTATTAACTGATTTTCTGTTTTGTTTTGTAGAAGCTTAGCTTGATTGCAAACACAAATCTGTCAGGTTGGAAATCTGATATACAGAAATGTGTTTGATTGATGTTTATCAGTGTGCTTGGACGGGCCATTATAATCCTTTTAAATTAAGTTTGTTATTAAGAGCAACTGAAAGTTGCTCTTGGGGACTTGTCTTGGGGACAAGACTTCTCTTGGGGACAGACTACTAGCATATATAGGATACTAGAAATGCCTCAGGATGTTTTACTTTTGGGAAGAATTATGGCAGATTCATCCTCCTGGGCTCTGTTTGTTGTTAGTTCTTTTCATGTAAAAGGTAACTGTTAAATACCTTTTAGATTTACCAACTGGTTAGATATACCAGCTCTGCAGGCTAGATTCAAGGATAACTGCAGCTGTCCTTGAACCCCGTGGCACCACACTATAACAGGGCAGTGTTACTAGTATGAATGTACATGATGCTAAATACCTTTGAATCTAGTAAGCACAAGTAGAACTGTTCTTGTTATGGAAAACTGGTCTTTTGTCCTGCCTAACCCCACTATGCACCTCCCAATGCCAATATAATCCTGGTGTCTTATTTGAAAAAGTTGTGCAAAGTAACCAGAGAGCTCAGAGTATAAAATATTAGCAATATAAATGTCATACCTTGTGCCACCTATCAAGAAAGTTTCATTAGGAACTGTCTAGGGATTAACAAACTAACAAGTTCACAAAGAAAAGTTTGAAATGGATGAAGTGTATTTTGAAGGAAGGGATCACAAGGCTGCTGTTTTATTTCCCTCCTTCACTCTCCTAATACGCTTTTCATAAAATATACAAATGCAATGACAATTTATAGTGAAGATCAAAGATGGCAAAACTGATGAGCAAAGGCAAGTGTGTAATAAAACTTTCCAGAGTATTTTTTCTCTGATCAGATTTTTTTCTGATCATACTTTAAATTTTAAACTGAATTTTTTGTCTTTGATTCAGAAAAGTTGGCCAAGGTTTGGAAATCTGTGGCTATGCAGTAGCCTTGAGACACCAATGCATCTTGCAGCACACTGGAATTACTTTTTAGTGGTTTTTTTTCTTATGTACAAAATACAGGAAATTAAATATATATATATTTTTTTTTATTTTCTTGGTAAGGGAGATAATGATGAAGACATATTAATCAGCAAATGCTCTTGGCTTTGCTTTAGTCTCCAAAATACTCTTTTTATATCCTCTACGTGCGAATTTTAAAGACACCGACTGTTTTGTGTATCTATCCACATACATACTTATGTACACAGGCTTACTTTGGCACTAGCTAAAGTAATGTAAAATTCTATATGATGCTTTTTTGCTTTCATTTTGAGAGTAGGTGTAGTTTTTCTTCCACTTTTTCTGCATGATATGGATTAAACCAAAATAAACCTGGTTAAGGGACAATGCATCCACACAGCCTTTTATACTGGCTTGACTAAATAATCTTAATATTACTTCCCCATTGTGTGCATGTGCACTCTTACTCCAGAGTAATGTGTAATGCGGTGTGCTACCACTGTTTCAGCTTCATCATACCCATTTAGAAGGACCTGTTTCATTGCTCTTACTGCTACTCCACTGTTTACACTCATCTTTTTTACTTTTTTTTTTTTTCCGCAGTCATATTGTTAACAATAATTCTTTCTGTTTAAACAATTAGGCTGGTCATGTGAGAGCAAGTCCAGTCATTTTGGGCATTGCCTGTAGGGATAGATCCAGACTAAG